AGTAAAGTAAACCATTTACAGGAAATAACAGAGCACATACCTTCCGTCGTCGCTTTTGAAAGGTTTTAGTACAAGGGATAGACAGTGATGGATAATGGAGTACTTTGCCTTGGTGAACCAATCTGGACTTGTTTTTGACGTTTGCCATTCGATTGTTGGGAAGAACGCCAGCACACGGCTCGCCATATATGCAGCATTTTCACGAACCTCAGCAGGTATATTTCCTATGTAGCAGAGTAATATCAATCAATGTTATTTCCTACATAGACCCGTACGTTATCAATTATTACCCAATTTCAAATATAATGGCCAGGCATTGTTGCGCATATTTCCAGTGACTGTAGTCTGGTCGGATGCAAGCATAATATTCAAAATTACGTTGTCTGGGTGCTTTTGCTAGAACCGACAGATTAGTATCAGTCTACTGCGACTAATCATTATAATTATATGCAGCTTACTTGTAGCGTCTCCCACTGGGTTCCGGAATCCAAGTCAATATAGCATCTTTCACCGTTGCGCTTATATATACTTGGATTTAAAATCATGGTGTCAAGGAATGCAGGGTGTCCAAATAAATGTTGGCATAAGTCGTGTATATCGCGATAGACAAATTGTAGCCTTCCACCGACAGCTATCAACAACTCCTTCTCATGGCCTTTAGGGAAATCCTTGATATCATCGAGGTTAAGATCAATAGTTTGGAAGTCCTGCAAAGGTTCAGTTTGATACTGTTGTCAAAGATAATGTCTACGGTGTATTTACCAGCAGCGAGTGTTCGCCAGCGTCATGTTTCAATGTTGACTTCAGTTTGGTCAAGGTAGCCGTTGAAATGGAGAAAGCATCCTTGTCAGCCTCCAGAGCAAAGCTAACGACATCTACAAAGCTGCGACAAGAATCATTTAAAACGCAATGTCTAATAGCACTGTATGGAATAACCACTTTACGAATCGTAAAAATGACTCGATAATCCCACATCAAAAGCGGACCGCGCCATCATTTCCTCGAGCTTGTTCATTGTGCTTACTGGCTTGACTTCCCGTTTTGACTTTGATTGCTTAAACTCAACCACGGATGCTATATGGAATGAAACTTCTGCTTTTCTCCGTAAATGTATATACTCACTTTTGATCATTCTATGCCGTACATGGCGATCTTTCAAAGACTCTTGAGTGTTATTACTTCCAGATAGGGCTCTAAATACGGGCGGGCAGGCCCGTGGACCGCCCGTTTTGGCCCGGCATTTTCGGGCATCGGGCCAGGAAAGCTGTATGAAGGTGGGTGCCCGAACGGGCACGGTCCTATATAGCGGCCCGACCGAGTGCCCGAATGTGAAGCATATGTATTTTCTTTATGAAACGTCCATCTAAATGGCCCTTGTTATATATGTAATTTGATTCTATCAAAACCGTGTATTGCAAATAAAGATTAATCAACTAAGTATACATCTTTAATATGGAAAGATTTGTCAAAAGGTTGAGCAGTTTCTACAATGATCCGGTTACACAATGATTGGTGTTGATGGGCCAAGTTGCGACAATGAAAGGCTGCTACGTCAATTAGCACTATTCAAACTGCCTGCAGCACGCTAATCCGCAAATGTCTTAGAACTTGGATAGGATCGGTATTAGTGTGAAAGAGCTATGTGTTCAAGCAAAGATAATTTCCAGCTGGCATTGTGTAAGCAGAAGTAAAACGCGAAGATAAAGTGGATCAGTATAATGATAGCTTTATTACACGAAAAAAAAGGATAACAATAGTGATTGAAAAGTGCCTCGACCATACAGACGCTTTATTACCGAAAAAAACCAACCTCTGGCTTACTAAAGGTGGTGCTTCGCAGAAAACCATTGGATAAAGAAAAAAGAGCTACGACAAGCATCCTTCTTCATCTTGAGTAGTACGCTTGAAAAAGTGTACCTATTTGAAAAACAATAAGGGTGGCTGTGTATGCACCATTACAGTATGTACGCAGCCACCCTTTTTTGATTGGAATGCACAATGTCGAAATGGAATGGAGTGCCGGTAAAACAAAGCTGAGTCATATGGTAAAATTCAGTTGTATGGAAAATAAATATGGTCGAGTAGTACTGTATGTGGTGATTAAAAATTCGTTCTGAAGCAATATGGTCGACCTGAATTCCATTTGACGGGCATCGAGAGAAAAAACGTTGCTGAAAAAATGCAAAGCAGGATGCATTCCTATGCCATTTGCGATGTCGAATTGCTGGTTTGTCTCACTGTGTCGCTTTGGCTTTTTGTACTTCTTGGTCTTCCTTTGTTGCTTGCAGAAGTTCTGCTGTTTCAAAAAAGTGTGTGCAAGATAGCGATTACATGATCTAATACAATAAAGATGACTTTTGCCTAAACCTTATATACGATAACACAAGGCAGAACCCCATTTCACTTCTACATTAGTCATTGCTGCATTAAGATCGTTTACATTGTAGATTTCATCAGGCGGGCCACTTTAATTTGGGCTCTTGTAATTTCAGGTTCAGGCAAAAGACATGGCCCGTTTAGAGCCTTAGTTACAGTTAATGCAAGTGAAACTGGATAATGTATCACAAGTGATGGTGTCTTTACTAGTAAGTGACTCTCGTATTTATAGTGATGATGAACGGATTGTACCGGAACCAGATACTCTTTCACAGAAACCAATCGGTTGCATCGTGTCATCGTGGATAATTGTTACTGTTCATTATGTTTAACGAGTGGATGGATGCACTCCTTTACAATAAATTCAAGTGGCTCCCATCAGTTTTTGCATTAGTTTAAGCCTGGATCAAACATTATGAAACCAGGTACACCAATCGGATGGATCATACCCTTTGTTTAAGTTATAGCAATGTGCGGTGAATGTTTATGCGGATTTTGACAATGGATAAACTCACAGGTCGTATCAAACAGCAACAATACGTAATGATGTCAGTACTTTACAACATATTAATCTCACTCAATGCCAATGTTATGCGCTCAAGCTACCAAACGCATAGAAGTCCATCACTATATGCACTTCAAGTACATATTGTAGGTACCGATTTTGCACATATAGCGATGGGCTTCTAATTTTCAAAATAGCAAGGTAATGAGTGTGATATGAACCACGACACTTCTTTTTAATCCCCAACTTAACAATCCCGTTCAAAACAACATTAATTATGCGATGCTTCCAAAACTTCGCCATAATTATTAATAATCCTGCCAGTTCCCTCAACCAGCGACTCTTTGTTTCAGATAGTTCTGGTTTCTTACAATCGCTGCCAGGAACAGGAATAGCAATCCGCACAACATTACAATCTCTACTCCCTGCCCCATTTGGTTCCTCACGCCAGTTTCTTCTGTTATGAATTCGGCATTAACAACATATAGCATTGCACCTTTTTCTATGTCTTATTGTTGATATGACGCCATCGCTATTGTGCTTTATGTAGACTGTCATGACTGATTAGGACATAGTAACAGTATACATCGTTGTCACCCCCTTCCCCTTACTTCATTAATATTACCCTGCATTATTGCTCATCTTACCGATATTGTATTTCATTGTCATTAATTTCATCGTTGTATTTATTATTTCTTACGAGCATTGGGTATATATATCGGATAAGAATAAGAGCAATAAAGGCATCAGTTTATCTCGTCACATTATTCCATCTACCTTATCCTTGTCTTGACCAACGTCTAGGATCCATCTCTATCCTAGTTCTTGCCCTTGTCTGGTCTTGCCATTGGTAACCATCTATGTGGTCAATGCATAGTGGAAAGCACCTAACACTCACCTTCTAGTCTAGTCTTGTTCTTGTCTTGTTCTGTCTTGCCGCTTGATCCATTTTCGTGGGTTCTTGCATTCTTGTTGATTGGTTAGTAGTTGTATTATCCTTTAGTAGAGTAGTATTCTTATCTCCATCTTGTTCCTAGCTATCTTCTATTAGGTCATACTTCTACTCTCCACTTGCATTTCTGATATAGACATACACAAACCAGAGCGGTTCGCACTTCACAAACTTATCAAGCATACTAATATTAGGAACACCAATTATGTCAATCTTGCTAATGTTCAACCATAGAAATACAAGGCAGCCATTTGCATTTTTCACTTATGATACCATACGTATGCACAGTCGTCTCATATAAATCCAAAAAAAGAGCTCATTGCTGGTGCATGGTCGTTGAGTACACATTGTATCTCGATGCTCACGCACCAACGATGAGCCCTTTTCTAAAACTTTTCATTCTTACACAAGATCAATAACTTGGTGACAGACCCTTAATTTCGCCAATTAATTAATCAGCCATAATGCTTTTGTTTCTTGCTGATACCAAGTACATCACCTTCAGCAATGCAGCCTCGACTTTTCAACCCCATTGACATCTCCATTTCAGTTACTAGCTTCTCATGATTATAATGTGCGACATTTGCAATAATAAATAAGACATATCTTTTTAACATATGCTAATGCCTTAAAATTCTGCATTTGTTTCTAATTCATTCCATTTCATATCAACACATATCTGTTTCACACTGGAATATATCCATTTTTCACCAATACTATAATTTTTATATTTAAGTACTGTCCTGAAGAGTATAATTCTTTAAAAAATTATTACTTTCGCTAATTGTACCAAGTTATTGCATCTATTTTTCTTAGGTCAGGTATCGGATACAAGTCGACTTCTTCAAAGTCAAATATAGGTCAGCCAATACCTGATCCAATACCTGATCCAATACCTGAAATGTGATACCTTAATCGATGCTATGGCAGGTGAAAGATATACCAAGATATTTCAATTAGGCAACCTTTTCAAGTTTATTACCATATAAAGTGTAGCGAGTCTCGTCGCCATTGATGATCTTGCACTTGGATGGGCTCCAGCGGTATCCAAACCGGGTTGAATGCATTTGCGCCATCATCAGTAGTTGCCAGACTTCTTGTGGCAGGCCAAAAATCGCTACATCATCTGCATACAATAGCAATTTGATGGCAGTGAAGTCAGTGTCTTCCGCATTGGTCCAGTGGTCAGGATCTCTGTCTTTCACACAGATGGCCGGGGTTCGATTCCCCGATGCGGAATACCTTCTGATTTAATAACACAAACATACAGGTTTATTTTTTTACTTTGTCGTGTGTCGCGTTGTAGTGTTGTTGTCGTAGCCATTCTGGCGGGCCTCTTTGCATTTCTCTTTTAAGACAAGCCATTTATGATATCTCTTTGTTGCACAGCAACGTGCTGTTGCATGAATATTACTCACAATGCATTCATCCCTTTTGGACCTCAGTATGACACACTGTAATGGTGTGTCCATTACAGACGTTATCCAGCCTGCAACCTGGTTGATCGCCATGCAGTATCCATATACCGTATTGATAGACGTAGCATGCGACAACTCATATGGCGCATGGTTGGATAAGAATATTAGGATTATATATAGCCTAGATGGAATTCGTAAATTGTAGATTATAGATGCCTTAGCTATTACCCTCTAATATCTGACGTATATATAAAGCAGGATTCCTGGATACAGGAATCCTCATTGTTTATACTCTCATATAACGGTTCCACCTTCGGGTTATTGTCTACATTGTCCGACTCACAGCAACGTACACGATTGTAAGTATCCTGTGGTCTGCACTGTTACACACACATATTCACCTTGTTGCCCACATTACTTATATCATAGTCATTACACGCATTACTACAGATAATACTTTATTAGCTAAATTATACAAGTATCCCCATAGACAAAAGTGTCATAACCGATTAGGTCATAGTAACATTATGCACTGTTGTCACCCCCTTCCCCTTACTTCATTAATATTACCCTGCATTATTGCTCATCTTGCTGATATTGTATTTCATTGTCATTAATTCCATCGTTGTATTTATTATTTCTTGAGAGCATTGGGTATATATATCAGATAAGAATAAGAGCAATAAAGACATCAGTTTATCTCGTTACGTTATTCTACCTACCTTATTCTTGTCTTGATCAACATCTACGATCCATCTCAATCTTAGTTCTTGTCCTTGTCCGGTCATGCCATTGGTAACCATCCATGCAGTCAATGCGTAGTTGTCGTATCCAGTGGTATCGGGAGACAAATGAGTTGTATCTGGTGTAACATGCGGTAGCTTAAGAATAGTCTATTTTCAATTTGTGTTTCTCTCTCTCTTTTTCCGGAATAAATCTCTCCTATAAAGAGTCTCACGAATCACTTCGTCCACACACACACACATAACCACACCAAACACTTCAGTAGTGGAAAGCACCGGACACTCACCTTCTAGTCTAGTCTTGTTCTTGCCTTGTTTTGTCTTGCCGCTTGATCCATTCTCGTGAGTTCTTGCATTTTTGTTGATTGGTTAGTAGTTGTATTATCCTTTAGTAGAGTAGTATTCTTATTAGGGCTCTAAACAGGCCATGCCCGACCGGCATCGGGCCAGTTCAGTCGGGCCACACCTGTTCCCTGTGGCCCGTCAGGCCTAATGAAATGGGCAATGTCTATTGCCCGACCTCGAAATTGCAAGAGCCCAAATTAGAGTGGCCCGCCTGACGAAATCCACAATATGAACGATCTTAATGCAGTAATGGCTAATGTAGAAGTGAAATGGGGGTCCGCCTTGTGTTACCGTATATGATGTTTGGGCAAAAGTCGTCTTTATTATATTAGATCACGAAATCGCTATCTTACACACTTTTTTCAAAAAGCAGGCCTTTTTTTCTAATAAGAGGTTATTACCTCATTTGTTTGTAATTTCGCGCGCCAAAGGCAGAGGCGGATTGCTGCAAGCAACAAAGAAAGACCAAGAAGCACAGAAGTCAAAGCGATACCCTGAGACAAAGCATCGCAAACGATGCAGGAATGCCTTCAGCTTTGTATTTCTTTAGCGACTTTTTTCTCCCGATATCCTTTGAATGTAATCTAGGCTCAATGTTCGAGAATATCAAAAAATAGGTCGCTCATAATGTCTCAGAACAACTTTTTTAATCACCACATACAGTATTGCTCGACCATATATGTTTTACATTGTAGAGAAGTAACTCAGCAAGCAGCCTGAAACAAAAAGATTCCCAGCTAGCTCCCATGTGGAACACAAACAATAACGCATACATATCATCTACCATTTGCCTCACAATAAAAGACAGACTCTTTCTACCCATGACTCCCTTTGACTCCGTATAGTTGAAAAAAGTGACCGCTTCCTCTTTGTACGTGCTGACTTAAGAGCTCCCACCAATGCTTACGACTGTATTGAAAATTAACAACTACGATGGATTATGTAGTTTTACACTTGTTGCCAACCATTCCTGATTACTTTTGTATCGATTCATAACTCATTGTATATGTGTCATCCGACAATTAACTGGCATATTCACTCTCCCGTCCTTTAGGGGTTTACATCCCCAAACTGATCGTTTATCTGTTTCATTGTAATTGGCATGTAGTGGAGCCTGTGAAAGAATAAACTCACGCAACAATAGGCAATTCGGGATGTAGCTCAATTTTTCGATTAAATTCATTGGCTGCAAGCTAAAGGCGCTGGAGAAGAGCTAGGGGGTGCAAATGAAGACCACAAACATTACTGTGTTTGGAAGCATAAAATTCCATTAAATTTATTCTCTCTTTCGCTCCTATTTCTCATTTTTACTCCTACTAGTAAGTCCAAGCATTTGAACTTGTCAAAGTAATAAATGTTCCTCTAGATTGCAGATTACTCTTTGTGGAAGTCGTGATAGCATGTAAGTTCGTCACTTAATCTTAGGCACTGAAGAAGACTCATTATTTTTTTAGGTCTCTTTTCGATTTGAATGTCATCAATGTACGTATTGTAAGATATATAAGATTTCGGATCTTCTAGCGACAACACTTTTGTAATACCTTTAATTTAGATACTTCCTTTTCTATTGGGATATCGTGGTAATTACTGAAGGAATATTTTCGACCTCCATACTAACACATTTACCAGCTGTAGGATACGCGTCGCTTTCGTCCATTGATTGAGATTATTAGTCAGAGCAGTAACGTAGTACTTCTTTGGTTGACAATGCCAACACAGTTCTGTAATGACTGGAATGTTGAGTCAGATAGTATCAACTGCTCAAACGCACTACAAGCACAACGCGATTGCCGTCAGTGGCTGGTTCAGTGAAATAACACTGCTTCCAAAGCACCTCTCTTTTCTTATGTACCCTCTGTACTGAGTGATCTCACATGGCCTCTGCTCCCTCCCAGAAAGGTGATTTTTTGATGCCTTTGAGTGTGTACCACAGGATTATGTTCAAGTGTCAAGACTTTTTCTGTGCGTGGGGCGACTCCCTTTATTTTTGCTAACTCATGACATCAGAATACCAACGCTGTTGTTTATATTCCTTTTTTTCTTACTACAAACACCATCTGCCGATATCAAAAACGGAGAGCCCGGCAGTTTCTCAGGTCCCCGCACCCAAGGTAAAAGAATACTGTATTCTTTTACTCACGCATAGTGGTTCACCTTTCGCAATAGTATCATGACAGCTCTCACTCTAAACCAGCCTCCACAAAATCAAACAGAGGCCCATCTGTGCTTGTCGGATCAGAGGCAACTTCAGTACATTTTCACATCATGTTTTAGCCCTCTCAAGGAAACCGGAAACTGGCCAAACCACTGAAAAAGGGAATAAAGCGTTGCTGAAATCCATCAATGCAAAAACCGCCATTTTGGGTGACAAAACATTGGTTTGGACCATTGCGTGTCATCTGCAATCCATGAGTGCGACATAGTTATCAAAAATTACTTTCGAAACAGTATCATCATACGCCTCGGAGATGCAGCATGTAGGATGAACCTGTAATCAGCACCTGAAGCAGCCAATTACGCAACGGCAACAAAGAACAAATCGCAACGGGACTCAGAGTGTCCGAACAATTCAAGACTGCTTCCAGCTAGCATAAAGATAATACGAGCCGCTGAAAATGGAGCACGAAGGTGTTAACGCGAAGCGTAGCGGAGGGGCTCAACCCCAGATGTGCGTAATGGACTAAGGATCGTCAAGATAATATTAACTAGCAAGTCATATAAAATCCGAAAATATAGAAAAAAGTCAAGAAATCTGTACAGCTCCTGCGCCGAATGACATTGGAATAGCCATCATAGATGGAGCACAAAACTACAGCATCTGCTCCAGTATATGTCCTGGCGGAGGAAGGGAGGTTAACTGAAGAAGAAGAGGCGACAGACACTCATCAAAGCGAGTTAAAACGCTAATGGGATTTCTCAGGAGACAGCTTTTGTCAGAAACAGCAATCCAGTCAAAAACAAGTCTCATCAACCTCGGGGAACATACACATCCTGACAATAGCGAAGCGGACGTGCTTCGGAAGATTTACACAGTTCTCTTTCCCTATACCTCGAAGGAACAAGGCAACGAACAGCGGCTTGAAGTCAATGCCACCATGACAGCATCGTGTGTTGTCTTGGCTAACACGATCTTACGACTAGCGAGGCATCGCTCATATTGTCCAGCTATGTCCGGAAGGAATAATGGCCGGCAAAGATCACTGGCTGTCATTTGATGCTGATTCGCTCTATGAAATCGTTTGCTCAACTTCTGGCCAATTCACCATTCGTCAAGGAAGAAAGCCATTTATCACATCACTAAAAGAAGTTCACTGTAAACCCACAGAAGTCTTTAATGCGTTTTCCCAGCTACCGACGATTAACAACCAATGCAGAATGTACCATAAGGATTTTGTTGGAAAATAGTTACGTATGGAAAGACAGTTCGACTTATCGGTAAACGTAAACGAAAGGGGCAAATGAAGTATCTATACGACCAACATCGCAAAGCACAACTATGCCACCGGTGAGAAGGCAGTTTAACGACATGGAACACGATAAACTCGAAAGTCTCAAAGCTTTACCGGAAAGCAACTGCAAAAACTTAATGAAAAGGTTGAAACGACGAGGAAAAGGCCACTGGAGATAAGAGCGAATAGCGAGTATTGTGAAGGGACAATAGAAGTCAACAAGGCTCAGAAAACTGAAGTTTATTGATGAAGAATTTGCTTCATTTATGTTAAATGCTTAGCAT